AGAGCCCTGGTGGGACCCCACAGAGCCCTGGTTAAACTAGGGCTCTGTGAGGTCTCACCAGGGCTCCGTGGGGTCTCACCAGTCCTGGTAAACCCCACAGAGCCCTGGTGAGAACATACAAAGCCCTGGTTTAACCAGGGCTCTGTGAGGGCTCACCAGGGCTCTGGTTAGACCACGCAAAGCCTGGTAAAACCCCACAGAGCCTTTGTTAAGCCAGAGCTCTGTAGGCTCTCACCATGGCTCTGTAGGGTCTCGCCAGGGCTCTGTAGGGTCTAACCAGCTTGGTTAGACCCCACAGGGCCCTGGTGAAATCCCAAAGAGCCCTTCAGAGCTCTATAGGGTCTTATCAGGACTTTGTAGGGTCCCAACAGGGCTCTGTGGGGTTTAACCAGTGCTGGTGAGACCCCACAGAGCCCTGGTGAGACCCTGCAGAGGCCTGGCTAAACCAGGGCTCTGTGGGGGCCTCACCAGGGTAGCAGGCCTGTGGGGGGGGTCTCACCAGGGCACTGTGGGGTCTAACCAGCCTTGTTAGACCCCACAGAGCCCTGGTTAAACCAGCGCTCTCCACGGCGCTCTCATCAGCACTCTCCAGGCCGCCACTCGCCAGTACTGTGCTGGCCGTGTCTCGTGGGCAGAGCTCCAGAAGACCGAGTGAATGGACCGTACAGACGATCGAGGAAACGTATGAGCGCTCAGCCCTGTCGCTGTCAAACTGAGAGTCTGTTTGAGCTAATGTGATGTTTTGGTACCTTCCTGGCCACGAGCAGGAAGGGTTTTTTTTCCTGTGCTGATTCTACGGTACGACCGTGGCGGTACGGACACCTTGCCGATCCCTGCGCTACGCGGGAGATCCGATCGGCAAGTTTCTGCTGGCAGCTAGCTCGAGGGGCAGCTGCTTTGGGCCCCACAGCCATGAATGGGCCCGGGGCAAGCGCCCTCTTTGCCCCGCGTTAAAGACGGCCCTGTTAGGGCTACAGAGAATTTTGTGTGCTACAGTAGATATTCACTATTTTTCTATATTCTAGTTATGTAAATCGCTGCACAAACTGCTGGCACTATAAATCCTCTGTTAATTTTATTATTATTCCGTAAACGCGTGATAAGTATCCCATAATATTCCTGTCCATGTGTCATCAGAAATGGAAGTTACAGACAGCAGTAAAAACGTTAGAAGTTTGTAACCTTGCGTCAGTCTACTACAAAATGTGCATTTATATTGGCTGTGTCCCTGTTGAATAGATTTGCTATCGCTACCTGTCTTGACAGGTATTAAAAGAAAATCTCCTCAGTGGGGACACATGCAGAAATGAAAACCTGACACTCTAACCCCTCCTCAGCTTATACAAATTAAACAACATTTTGGCTTGAGTTGGCCTTAATGGAATTGCTGCTCAATCCAGATTGGGTGATAA